GAGGCAGTCTGGGGCCGCGGGACTGGGCTGGAGCGGGCCGAGGGGGGGCGGGCTCGGCTCTTAGCCGGGCCGGCACCGGAGACTAACGGGAGGCGGCGCATAAAAGAACCTGTGTAAGATGGAGGGGCGTGAGGGGAGCGGGACAGGGGGGCAATCATTGCAGGGCTCGGTTGGAAATACGCTCTCCTCCCAAGGGAGGCGAGAAGGGACGTAAACAAGTTAGTAGGTGTTTAGGGAGAGCAACGATACCATTTCTTGGCAGTGCTTTAATCAAGCAGCACAACAATCTGGGAAAACAGCAGTTTTTTGCAGGTTAGGATGTCCCTGTTGAAGCTCACAGAAGCCATTTCCCCTTGTCACTCCATTTTTACCCTCAAATAGTCAGAGAGCTGTGATTTTGTATTTCCTGATCAGGAGAACTGAGGAGATTCCATTGAGCCCTGTAAGTGCTGATTTTTAAGTGCATAGGCTGTACTGTACTTGATAGGCTAGGGTGTCCTGCTAGGGCTTGCAAGAAATAGCTAATCCCCAACACGCAAGTGCATGCATTTATATTTATATCCCAGATAAAAAGAAGCGCGTGCTCCAGGCTGTGACAACTGCAGTTTCTCATCCGAAAAATTGACAGTGCTGTGAAGTTGTCTAATTTATATAGCAAAGTAAGTAAAGATTGGTTCCTTTTAGCAAATTTTTTTTTTTTTTTCAAACGAGGATTTGGGGAGTGCGCTGCTCTCAGTGTTGGAATGCAGATTATCCTGCTTTAGTTTTGTATATGACAACCTAGACAGGTACTATCCCTACAGCCATCGCAGAAGAACTGTAAGAGTAAGACAGTAACATATGAAAGGCTTTGATGAATGTCTTGTTCAGTACAAGAATGGAAGCATCGAATATGAGACACGGTCACGGTTACAGCTCTTGGCAGTGTTCCTGCCTGACTGTCGCTACTGAGTCGTCTGTGTAGCATTGCCATCTCAGGAGGGGCTGCAGTGCCACTTGCTGAGAATTTTTGGTTCAGGAGGTGGCGGACTCCACAGGTTCTTTACCAGTCTTTTGCAAGACAATGACTGATAAGGTTTTGTGAGAGTACTGCAGCCCGAGTAAGTGACAAGGGTAAGATAGTGATAAAGCCACCATGCTGAGGGCTAAGACTAATGTCTGTCTTCCTCCTCTCTGAAGAAATAGTTTTGTGTAGTTTTCATAATGGAAACATTTGCAAGTGTAGGAATTAAACTTTTCTGCCCTTCTTATGGCTCTTTTATATCTTTAGCACGTCTTACTGTGGTGGTGAGCACCTGAAGAAAGTGATAGTGGAACACCTGTTCAGGGGGTCCTGCCATTAATGCTTTCCTGTGAGAACTTCTAAGAATCTCAGCTCTCTGAGCTGGAAATCGGTGGCTGCTCTGCTCACTAGACTGTTCCGTCCGGATGGATATAAGTTACCAACTTGAACTTTGGTTTGATTGCCTGCATCAATACTTTTTTTCAGTTCCTTGTGAGGGAATATCCAGTCTTACAGTGCTATAGTGCTTACTACTCTTGTATCTTCCAGGCAGTAGCTATGCTGCTGCTGTTCTGTTCACTTAAATTCTGATAGTTGAGTAAGTTCATGCAGACTGTTCAGAGGCTTAGTTTAGGTGCAGGTATCTAACAATGTAATGCTTGTGTGTCAACTGCACGTCTTGCCTTTCACGGTAGGTTTTGACTGTAAGTTGTAACTCTCTTAATATGAAAAATATGACGTAATGCAAAAAGGTAGACATGGGATAGTTGGTTTTTGTCTGGTTCTAGTGCCTAATACTTTCTTTTTTCTCTAGGGGGAAGCTGGGCCGGTATCCTCCATGGCCAGGAAAGGTGAGGTTTAGTTTGTTTTTATTATTGCTTTCTTGGGTTTTATTTGTTTGTTTTTGCTTTTTCCTTCTGCACAGAGAGCACTTTGCCTGAAAGCATTTCAGTTAAAGATTAATATTGGATTTTTTTTTTTTTTAAATACATATCCCACAAAGATAAACTGTGAACCAGTTCAGGACTTTATTTGATCTAGGAGTTCAGACTGTTGCTAACAGCTGTTAGTTCAGATGGAATGACAAGCAACAGAGAGCAGTTCATCCAGCTCTGCAACTGACTGTTTCCCAGATTTAGTTATTTAATCCCTATCGCTTTCTGCAAGACAGGTTTCTTTCCTCCCATAATAAATTGGTTAAATGCACTGTGTTAAATAACAGAAATAAAGAATCTGGCTTCTCAAGATACTGTTTTAGAGCTATGTTTTTTGAGTAATAATTCTGGGGGTAGGGAGTAGTTAAACTTTCTCTTCTGGTTTGGTTGGTTTTTTTCTGATGAAAGGCCAAAAAGATTTAAAAAAAAAAAATTGAATTATACGCGCCATTTTTATTATTTCTACTTCTCTGAAAGAACTTTATTTTTGGTGTAGGTACGAGAACTAAGCATGCTGAGATAACAGCATGCAGCAGGGAAAAGTGTTGTCAGTATGACTGACAACCATAAATGTTTGGCTTCACTCTGCTTTTTGGATCAAGTTAAGTCCAGGCTCCCCTGTAGTCTTTCAGGTGTCACCTGTGTATCTGAATGACAGCTTTTCTCTTTACTAATATTTTAAACTTTTTACTCCCAGAATAGACTGCTTATAGACAAAGCTTTAAATGTAAATTTTAAAAGTTACCTAAGTGGAACAAACTTCTATTAATGCCATTTGGCTTTCTAAATTTTTAAAAAGATGGCTAGCTTATCTATTGGGGATAGGGAGAAGAAAACCTCACTAAGAATGTAGTGATGTATCAGTGGAGTTTGGGTACTTTTTCAGTCTGCTGCAGCATACCATGGAAATAGGGGTTACGTATTTACTTGAAAGACTTATAACAGTTTCAAGTTCTCTTCCTAGTCAGATTAAAAAAAAATCTACAATAGCTGTAACACATGACAGTAAAATCACAGAGTATAAATTTTCATTATGTACTTTTTAACTTTCACTTCTAATCACCTTCAGATTGTTAATCCACCTAAAGATCTGAAGAAACCTCGTGGGAAAAAGTGCTTCTTTGTGAAGTTTTTTGGAACAGAAGATCAGTATGTACCTGCTTGTTTTCATCTGGTGGAAATACTGTGCCATATAATATGGATCTTTCATGGAAGAAATATTTACTAACACAGTGCAGTGTAGCGTTGCAAAGGATTGTCTTTGATCTACAAGCAAAAAAAAATTCAACTATCATTGCATGCTATAGCCACTCATGTGGGTGTATGAAGACTGTAAAGACTTACATACTCAATCATGTTGGGATTTTAGTTGCCGCTGTGAAGGAAAGTTCTTGGTAGCTTGCCATTTTTAGGGGAGTAGGTGTGACGTGACTGGGTTAGATTTTAGCATGTAACCACGTATGAGAAAGATACAGCTAAGAGTATTAGTCTGTTTTTCTGCCAGAAAAATAAAACAGCTACATACTTGCCATTTGTAAAAGAATATACTGTCATACCTGATGACTAAAAATTCTTGCTGTGCTTTGGGAAGACTTTACAGTATAGGAAAGCCAAAACTGTTGTAGACTACCTTTTTGCAAGGCAGAATTTATTGATTGCAAACACGCGTACAAAATCGTAGTTGTCTTAGATACTTACAAACTGGAAAAAAAAAACTCCAAAACCCGAGAACTTGGGTATTTCATGAAACTGAAAATTATTTTGCTAATTTTTCAGTTTTTCCCGTTATTTTCTGCTATTTTGCATTAAGTCATGCAATAAGGGAGAAAATTATAAATATCTGCGGAAGACTAGAAAACCCTTTACTTTTTGGAAAAAAGGTAACAAGAACTGAGACCATTTAATGGATGTTTCTTAAGGAAATTATTTTTGACTGCTAAATTATTTTTGCTCAATATTTAAAAATCATTTTCCATTAAGAACTGAGGTCTAAACTTGATGGAGTAGAAGTGAATGCTGCATACTAAATAGGGACGTTTGTTGGATCTCTAGTAATGTAAGGCAGGTGAAGGTTGATTTGAGGGCAGAGAGTGTTTCTTGGTGGTGGCGTTGTTGTTAAACATGGTTATTTGAGCTAATCAAGTTCTAGAAGTTGAGGAGGTTGACTATTTCTATCCTGATTGTTCTCAATTCTTGTATTTCACGTTACTGAATCAAATACAGAGATGTTTTGTATTAAGACAAGTTTGGAAAAAGTGGTCGTATGTCTGGGGTACTGTAGCTGAGATTAGCAGCATGATTGCAAATGAAGAGTTCAGAGCTGCAAAATAATCGGGATTTATTACACGATTCTAGAGCTCTCGCTAGGGAAAATCCAGTCATCTGGCACAGTAAGGTAGTGTGGTCATTGTCGTGTCTCCCCTTCCCTCCCCCCGTCTCCAGCTTGTGAAATTTAATAATTTCCTGCTAGATAATTATGATTTAAAAATTTGCTTGCTTTGACTGGCATACCCTACCTGAAAATTAAATAGAAATAAATACTGTGCCTTTGTTCTTCTTTTAAAATAATATTGATAGACAGAAGAGAGAGAAGCTTGTGTGCCTGTTCTGTCCTGACTTGGAATTTTAAAAGAGTGTGCTGGTCAGAACTGTGCTGTTCTAACCAGTGTGCTGCTTGAGAACCAAATCAGGAAAATTTAAATGATTTCACTTAAAATGCGAGCATGAAGAGAAAATCCTTTTACTTATTTTGTGCAAGTAAACTAATGTGTTTTGCAAATACTTTTTTCTAGTTGTGTATGAACAGTAAGTGGAAATATGTAACTGACAAAATGTCACTACATAATGAACAGCATGACGAATAGGAGGATGCAGAGCTCCATCACTGACTGTAGTCTGTGGTGTGATGAGTGCACTGACTCATACTGATATGCTAGTGCACGTTGCTTCTGTTTTCTAGCACTTCGCTCTTTCTGCCACTTTGAAGTTTGTAAGGTGACATTACTATACCACTGATCCATTTTTACGGCTCTTCTATTATTGCCTTACTCTGTCAAAGTTTAACAGGTGAGGATCTCGATACAAGCTATTTGCCTATGGTCCAGTGCGTGTAAGGTGAAGGTGATGCTAGTTGCTGGGTAGAATCCCTCTCAAACTTCTGAGGATGATTGCCAGCCAGTTTGTCGATGGGTAGGCAGTCTCAGACTTGATACTCTTATTTCCTTCTGAGGATTCCCAGGTGACTGTTGTGGCCAGAAATGCCGTTGTTTCAGGCTAGTTAAAAATTGTTTCCTCCTGACTTACATGGCTCCAGTTTGCCATACCAAAGATTAAGGAGAAAGCTGCTTAGAAGTAACAACTGGTGTGCATGCATCTGAGCGGAGTGGATGGGTGAATAAAAACGTATCGATGAGTTTGGAAGTGGTTTTGGTGTAGTGTATAGATAGGTTTTGGTTATTTGTGAAATCCTGAATAGCTTAGGGTACAGAACAGAAGAAAATGCATTTTTCTTTACCTGTGAATTGAATACTAATACTTACTGGCCCAGTGCGATGCTGCAGTGACTAGGGAAATACATTAACTGGAAGGCTGTAGGTAGTTTTGGCCAAAGACATAAAAGTGAGAGCATGAGTGCATTCAGACTGTGCTCTAAGACCTGGCTTTTGATGAAGTTTCTACTGAGCTCTATGCTCCTTATGTTTATTGTGTTGGCGGAGTTAGTTGCTTCTGTCACTTTCAAAGTTAACAGATTTTCTGGAAGATAAGGATTCTCTACTCATGGAAGAAGAATTTGCTTATTTGTTTAAACTGTGAAGTACACCTATGCTTTACCACAGTGAAAGCCACCTTGATGTTCATAGTAGTAATATAATATCTGTGTCCTATTCTAAGTGATTGCCTTAATTGTGATGCACGTACTAATGTAATGTCTTTTATTAACTTGTTCTCCAAATTGGTAAGGAGATTTTTCTAGTCTGCCTAGGAGTTCTGAGTGTCTCTTCTCAGAGTAAGTCGCATTAGAAGGATTCTTCAACTAAAATCATGAATAGTTGATGTTTCCTGCCCATAGACCTGGCAAGCATGTAACAACATCCAATTATGGGAGTATAAACAACAATTTTAATTTAGTCTTTCTAAATAGCAGTGGAACTTTGACCTCTTATCTGTGTTTCTAACTGTGCTTTTCAGATAGTTTTTAAGATCCCCTTTTATTTCCCAAGCTACAATCTTGTCATGGGAAGTCTTTGTAGATCATTCCAGTAGTCAAGTACTGCAATGTAAGAACTTATACATTGCTATATACGTGCATTTATTGCTTTTAGTAGTTAGAACTAATAGACTGGCAGGCCCATAGCCTACAAGTCTTTCTTGGTGTGCTTCATCCAGTTCAAAATATTCTTGCATTTCATGGCTTGCTTGGGAATTCATTATGACATTGTCAAAACTAAAAAAATCATTGCTTTGAAGGTATCATTCTACTATGTTTCACAGAAGTACTAGGGAGAGTCTTGCAGTCATCAGACGTGTGTACAAACACACACATTCTCCTCCCATCCCAGCCTCTTCCCCCCTTAGATATTCTGTAATAGTCAAATGGTCTTGCAAGTCATGTATATCAAAGTCTTAATAGGAAGCTGGAGCAGTCCATTCTTACTCATAGCACCTTTTTGAAGCATCAGTACAAAACTAAATAGTCTCACTAAATGTGGTGGAGTCAAGGGGCACTTCCTGAGTTGATATATTAAGGAAAAATTGGAGGAAGCTTGCAATCCAAGATAAGTATAATAATCTGCAGCCTATTTCCATCAGGCACAGTGATTTTAGCACAGCCCTCATTGCCTTCCCATCCTCCATATCCTGTTGGGATGCAAACACCTACCCTCTTCTGCCACTGTTCTCCCTGGTTTTTGAGGAGAGAGAAATTTCTGGATGTAGTCTTTCTAAAATGTTCTTTCAGGTCCCAACATCAGAAAACACTTGCTTAAAGTTTGCCAGGTGTTGAACGTGGTACTCTTTGGCTGTCTGAGGAGCCAGAGGGTATAGGCTAAGCTGACAGAGAGGGTTAGTTTACATTGCTGGTGTTTCTCAGTTAGGCAGATTATCCCATGCAGAGCTTTATGTTGCTGTAGCCAAACTGCTGTATAGCAGAGCCAGCTGGAATGTTGTTAGACATCTCTGCAGGCAGAGTGCCATAGCTGAAAATTACTGTAGCCAAAACTTTTCCACCTCTTGCTCATATCTTTAGATGTGTAAGTACTCTGCAAAATTTTTTTTATTGCACAAATTTGAAAAATCTACTACTTAGAATTTCTTTCAGTATTGCCCTGCTGCTTGTTTTCTTTTGCTAAGTATCCCCTCCTTTTAGCTGCATGGATGTTTATTCTAATTTAGTGTGGTCATTTTTGTATTTTTTTTCCATTAAGAAGTTTACATATCAAATTCCAGAGTTCAGCCATTTGAGTTGTTTTACTGATGAAAATTGGGGCATTCCCTTTTCACAGCAGGAAACCCATCTTGATTTCTCTGTTGTGTGCTTGCAAATAACCAAGCAGTTTTCTTTTGACTTTCAAAATTGGTTGTGTTAGCGTTTAGTGTGGGCATCTAAACTGCTACAGTGTAAAACTTTATGAAATTTTTCCCAGACTATAGTAAATAATAGAAATTTGGAGGTACAGTGCCACTGTTTTCCATTCCTAACTGTAAGGCTTGCAAAAACTGAGTATTTGTGGATATTCCTCCACTTCCATTTCCTCAATTTATCATTAGGAATTGATATCTTTAGACTGGAAGAGAGTGGCTAGAAAGTTGGGGGTTTTAAGGTCTCCTTGCCTGTGCTAAGCTCGTATCATGGATTTGAATCTGGTATCTCTGGTTGCATCTTTTCTGTGCCACTGTTTTCCATACAGCTCCAGGTCACATTTGTACTTGCCTCTGCTTTACAAGCATTCTAAGTTTTGATTATTGTTCATTAATATAATATGGGTTTTACATGAGTAGTGGTTTTATAAGAATGATATTTTGGAGGGGATGAGGAAGAGTATGGAGAAATGAGCAGAGAAACCCATTACTAACATATCTCTTTTTTTTTTTTTACATCTTTTCACTTTCCATTTAGCCCATCCTTTACAGATAACCAGATGACTCTCTGCAGCAGTATGAGTACAATTTCATCTTAAATATGACATCTTCAGTGATGTAATGTCACTAATGCTTTCCTAGGGCATTAATTCATTGCTGAGTCAGGAGAGAAATAGTAGTTCCTTTTGTATGTTGCATCCTAGAGACCTGTTATCTAAATATTGGCCATCATTGGCTTTGAGTTTATTGCTTAACAGAGAGAGATCTTGTCTATAAACATGAATGATTTTGTTTCATGGACAGTTCTTTTGTTTTCAAGCGTTTGAAACATTGCACGCAAATGTTTTATGGACATCAGGTGTCAAAAGACATGTTTGTATCTTACAGAAGGTTGTCCAGGTAGGTTACACACAAAGGATAAACTGGAAGGGAAAAGACCAATTTTTTTTTTAATTTTATTTTTTTAAAATATTTTTTTTAACCCTGAGGCAGCATTTAATACTGTTTTTCACTTATTAGTTTGTCTCTGAGATCTCTAGCTCTTTGTCCTAGGGGATCACAAGTGCCAAGATGTACCTTCGAAGCCAGGAGCCAGAAAGCTTTGTGCTTCAGACTTTCTCCATACCAAAGGAAAAGTAATGAAAAAGGAAGCTAATGAACATGTGGAGTGAGGAGGGATAGGATGTGCAGAAAGCTGAGAGAATGCCTTGATAGAAAAAGTTATTTTTATTTAGAAGTTCAAATCCGGCAACAACGTTTAATATGCTTTATTATAATGTACTCCAAAATTTTGTTTCCTTTACATACATAAGGGAAAGGCTTCTCATGAGCTGATGTTGTCCAGTACCTAGGGATGCTTTGTCACTGAGTGCCACACAGAAGAGCTTTATAGTATAAGAGAATTTTAAGATATGTTTCACTATAAAGTCTGGGCAGCTAGGAGGGATTCTCTGAATAGCTGCTGGATGGCAGGCTCTAGTCTGAAAGTAATGATTTGACTCGTTATATTAATTTAAGTCAATTATTATGAAGAAGATGTAAACTAAGCAAAAGTATTCCGCTTTGTGTGCAAAAGAGTACTGGATTCTGCTTCCAGGCTATGGTGGAATCATCCTGCAGGCCATACTGGCAGTGTGGACAGAATGCTAGCATTTTTTGCGGTCAGTTCTAGCAGGAGGCCTCATCTCTCCAAATGCAGCCCAAAAAGTTTCAGTCTACCTTAAGCAAGTTGATTGCTGACTACAAACAATGGCTAATGCCAGTGAAGAGAAAGATCTCCATGAAGTTTTAAAGAGTTTACTGGACTTTACTACTTTGTGAAGAGAGGACAAGCAAGATCCAGCAAAGCATTATTATTATTTTCACCTCTACGTTCAGTTTAGCTGTATGACATGATGCTTACAGTGTCTGACAATGCAGCTATTAAACCACTTCACCTGCTTACAGGAGCTAGACTGCACTGGAGAATATTTAAATCCTATAATCATGGCTAGTCAGTGTTTGTAACACATGTTTTGGGATCAGAGGAAATCAGTTTGACTGGTTTTTACTGTGTGCTGGGCTGCTGTACGCTAAGAAGCACTGTTGGTCATCCTAGCTCAGGAAAAGCTTTTCTAAAACTTATACAGGTCTGTTTTCAGTAGGATGGAAATAGCTTTGTAACTGTGGCTGATAAGCCTGGGCTTGAACTGGGGAGAGAGGAAGGTAGTCTTATCTCTGCGAGAGCCACAGGGAATGTTGAAAGCAAAGGCATTCCCCTAAGCCACAGTGAAGGAGTGGTAGAAGAGCTTGTCAACCTGAAGGAAAGTGGAGTTGTCACCCTGTACTTGACCACTTAACCATTTGGTAAATGTCAAGAAGTCCTACTTAGCAGCAGTGGAAACAGGGAAGTCATTTGAGTTTCCTCATAGGACTGCAGACAGGTTAATACTCTGCTACTGTACCAGTTTATCTTAAAATATCAACAGTGAAGAAAACGGTTCTTTGTTCTCAAAAGTGAAAATGTTGTTTTCGTGCAGAATATCAAGGTACATCAGAAATATGTTCAGCAATGAGCTGTGGTGTTTGCGCTCACTTTATTTGTGGTCAGCTCTATTGTGAGATACATAATTTTGGGTTTTTTTTCTCCAGTTTTTGCAGACACTTATGTGTGCACAGTATGTTTGAACAAGGGATTGATGGCTTAGAATTGTTACGTGGCCTCTGCTTTCAACAACCTCTCGAGCAAATTCATATTATTGGCTACCTTATGTGGAGGCCTGTGATTGTGGGTGTTCCTCCTGGTGATACAAAAGCAGTCACTAGACTGCCTTTGCTCTAAACAAGTACCTATGATCACATCCAAAAGCTGTCTTGCTGATAGAGAATATGAGTAACGCTTAGAGCGGAGCATTGCTAGCATAAGAGCATATAAAACTTGAGAGAGAAACCAAGTAAAAGTGCCAGAAGAAAGTTCTCGGTGAATGCAGAAATCACAGCCCTTCAGGTTGTAGAAAGCAAGTGAGTTTGGGCTGCTATCATCAGTTGCTGTGGACAAAAGAAGTGTATCTGTGTGTTTCTAAAAGTGGGATGGTTGAGAAAGTTGCTGTTTGGAGAATATAACTAACTTTTTTCTGGTTTCTAGTGCTTGGATCAAAGTGGAACAGCTGAAGCCTTATCACCCTCACAAAGAGGAAATGATAAAGATTAACAAGGGTAAGCGCTTCCAGCAAGCCGTGGATGCTGTAGAGGAGTTTCTTAGAAAAACCAAAGGCAAGGACCAGGTGAGTGGGTTCTTCAGTACTGTGTGCATCAAAACAAGTCTTAGCGTGAATGATGGTCAAATGTATTTTTATGTGAAAGGAGTTTGTTGCCTCTGGGAAGTTGAGGAGGCAAGTTGTTTTCATTCCTTTGTTTTTTTTTCCTATCCTCTCTTCTTCCCCATTCAGTCTTGTTTGGTGGGGAAAAAAAAGTGTTGTTAAACTGATGGAGAATCTGAAGAGGCTAATTGGTCTGCTTATGATGATTTGATAAATCAGTCGTAAGTCTTGGGCTAGATTTTGATATCTACTAATCTTGTCTTTAGTATATTGGAAGTGCATATATGTGCACACACTCCCAGCAAGTCTTCAGATGGCCTGTTCTGTTACTCGCTTACTTAACTGATGTGTTTTTGCAGGAGAACTAACCAGGAACTTCACTCACTGACTTCAAAGGGCTAACAAATACCTAGTTTTCAAGTTACTGTGCTGTTGTTTTGCTTGATAGTAATCAGCACAGGGTTCTTCACATCCTTGGTTTTGCATGAAAATCATTCCAGCTCTTCTCTTCTTTCCTTACCATCTTCTATTCTGTAATCTCTCAGGCATCTTCCCATAACTCCAATGAAGAGAAGAATCGGCGTAATTCCAGTGAAGAAAGAGGCAAGCCATCCGCTGGTGAAGAGAAACGCAAAGCCAGTTTGTCTGAAGGGAAGTTGAAGAAGGGCACAGGGGAAGGAAAAAAGAGGGTCTCTTCTGTATCGTCAGAGAGAGGATCAAAATCACCTTTGAAAAGAGCCCAGGATCAGAGCCCCCGAAAGCGGGGGCGTCCACCCAAGGATGAGAAGGTTTGTGTTGTGCATGTCCGCCAGTGCCCTGTGGACTTTGCAAATGGACTCTAGGGTTGACTGGCACCTTGACTAACAGGCCAGCAGGAAGAGTCAGTTCAGTATCAGGTTTTTTTAAGCTGTTCCATGTTACTGTTTCTAGACCATTTGGCTGCCTGATGCCTTTGGCAAGCATATTCTTCCTGTAATTTTTACTAGTTAGTTATTTTGAGTGGCTCTATTCATATCTTTGAGAGGGCTTTGAGAGCTGTGTCGTGAGACTCCACCTTTCATCTTGCCATCCCTCAAGATCAGTTTGTGCGGGAAGGATTAGTGAAGAGATGCGGGTCTTCATCTGATTCCTGACTTCTCCCATCTCATCTACTTTGTATGATTAAGTGATTAGTAGTCACTCAGCTTCACCCTTAGTACTTTACAGAGGGTGGGGTATTTTTAAGGGCTAGGGCTTAAAGAAACTCTTGTAGCCTGGGGAATCCACCAGAAGAATTAATTGTATTCATTTCAGCTTCTGTGCTATAGGATATATTTCCATCCTCCATTATAAAGGTCCAACCTTGGAGCATTATTATTTTATCCGCATTACTTCCCTGTTATTTCTGGATGTTGTGGCAGCAACAATAGCCACCAATACTTTGTATACCCTCATCTAGAGTTCCGGCCTTTTTATTTATTGTGGAACTCACTGTTGTGGTCCAGATCTTCCTTTTCCAAATGGATAATTATTTCAGTGGATTATCACAATGCACATGCTCCATCGGAGACTACACCTGAAGACCATTGGGAGACCTCAGCTGATACACCTTGTGGCAGCCTGCTTGCTCACCTGTGCTTCAAAGGGATCACGTTTTCATTGTGCTTCGCAATCTTTGCTTTCAGTGCACTTCAGGATACAAGTCAAGATGGTAGTCTTTGATCTCCAAAATTGTGAATGGATTGGCCTTCACTGGTTGAACAGCAGACTCTTTCTTGATGTAGTAAAATGAAGCTAATCATCTCAGATATTAGCTATGAAGGAAGTACTGGCTTTTTTTTTTTTTTTTTTTAGAGCCAGCTTCTGTTAAGTCAGGCTGTACAACAGAGCCCATCAGTTTCTCCTTTTGGGGGAAGTTGGAGGAGGGGAGGAATGGATGCATATTTGCAAATTCTTATTAATAATTGCAGAACCTGTGACTTGACTGATGCAGGAAAACACTTTACTGGCAACATACACTCACCTTTAAAAGTGTCTTGCTATGACTGTGTTGTATCTTTACATATTTCTGTTACAATAAGCCCCGGAGCCTTTTTTTTCCACTTGCAAAATGCTTTTGTGTCTTTGAGCTAGATTCATTCCAAAACTGATCAAAACTGATGGCTGGGAGAATTCTGATCGTGCTGACACATTGCATGCTTAGGTTTTACTGTATTAGCTACCTCAGGGCATCAGAGCGCTTTGAGTGAGTTAATTGTGGTAGTAGAAATTATTTTACTGGCAAATTGCAAGCGGAGTGGTTTTAAACAGCTTATCACAAAGAGGTGGCCAGCTATGTGATAAATATCTGGCCACAGACCATGAAAATAAGCAGGCTAATGTAGGAAAGTAGCCTTATAGGTTCTGGAAAGTAATGTACTGACAACTAAAGAAATTGCCACGAAAATATAACAGTACTGCCTTAATACTATTTCTCAGCCTGTGAAATAACTTTAAAATCTTTTCTTCTTGCCTGGTTCTCATAATTTCCCCAAATTCTTAGCCCTAGGGTAGAAAACATGTCGCTGTTCTGAATTACTGCAGTGTTGGGATTTGGGGGTTTTTGCCCCATCACGGTCCAAATTCTGGCTTTGCAAGTAATAAGGATGCACAAAATTCAAGGATCCAGTTGCTGCTGAGGTGTGCTCTGTCTAGAAATGCTCTGTAGGCATACATGATCATTCAAATACTCTCATTTTTAAGCTTATATGAATATTTTCAAAGGACCAGCATGACTTCATAGGTATCAGAGCAGGCTTCATCCATGCTTTACCAGTTGAAACAGCAGCATGGTCTCTAAGGAGAGAATTTTAGTGTGCAAGGCTCTCCCTAGACTGAAATGGCATTTTAAGTTTAGAGACTGATGTCTAAATTGTCCCTGCTAACAGATGAAACAGTTGCATCAATCTGGGTTACCTCCAGGAGTCTTGCTCTTACCTTTTTTGCAAACAGTGCTCTTCTCTTGTGGTTCTGCGTGGACACTAAGGTATATTGTGCATTTTCAGGAAGTAATTTTGGAGGGGAGATAGTGTGATTCCATTTCTGAACCCTAATTTCAGGAAGATAACACATACTATGCAGAAGTCCTGCACATTCTCTTCATATAGCATAAAGACCTATATGTCTATAGCATATGTCTGTGACCTATAGCATAAAGACCTATTTTAACCTATATATCTTGGGGAAATAAGAAAGATAAGTTTTAATCTGCTCAACAGTAAAAAAACCCCAATGCGTTAAGTATTATAATGACATTACAAATCAGGGCCTGTTGAGTGAATGGGGCGGTCCACATATCAGCTTCTGTCTCATGGATTCTGCAAACTTGAGCAGATGTGACTATCAGCCTCATGCTTTGAAGGTTCTCCTGTTAACAGGTAGGCTACTTTTTTTATGACAGTGGAGGATTAGAAGAGTTCAGACTTCTGACTGATGTGATGTTCTTCACCCATTTGTTTAGCTTTTTGCATCCACCAGAGGAAGATGCTGGATCAAGTGTGTTCGTTTGCTTCTCTGCTCTTTGCATGATTACGCAAGTGCAATGATTCCTCTTACATATGAAGAATGGATTCTCCAGAAGCCATAACTGTGGTTGAATTCCTTCATTGGCAGTTCATGTTTTCTTCACCTCACCTGTGTTGATAATACACTGTGTGTTTAAATATGAACTCTTCATGGAAAGGCATGTGAAATGGAAGGCATTTGTGGTGCTTTTCAAAACTCTGTATGTGTGCTCATATGATCAACGTGCTGTGGCCAGCCACTGAGCCAGGTTGTAAGCTCTTTCTGCTCCTCCTTCTGTCTCCTCAGGACCTCACAATTCCGGAGTCAAGTACAGTGAAGAGGGTGATGACTGGAACAGTGGCTGGATTTAAATGGCCGCCAAGCGTCAGTGAGGTGAGAAACTTTACAACACATGCAATCTAGGAACTGAGTTTGTGGAAGCAAATCTAGAACCTTTTGTCTGGACTGTAAAATAGCGAGATCTTCTCTTCCTCCTGTAGGAACAAAATAAGACGCTCTTATTCTGTCATTCTGTAGTGTAACAAAGCTAGACAATATCCCGGGCAATTAAGAAGTATGCTGGGAAGTGAGATTTCAGTCTTTGTGGAACCATTTGCAGATTCACACTTAACTTGCTGCACTCATTTTTGCGCTTGTTTCAAAAGTATTTCTGGGACTGGCTTCCCAAAACTGGAGGAGTTGATGTGGATAGTCTCTCCCTGTCTGGATACTATCGTATGGGGTGGTTTCATTTGATTTCCCTCATAAGCAGCTTTTGGAAACCTTTCATCTTTGTGCATAAATAAATAAGTGGTCAGTAAAGCAGAGGTAAAAGCAGCATGACTCCAGGCTAGTGCATATGATGCTCATCGGGGAGGTGAGATACCTGGGCCTACAGTCCTTGTTGCTGTTAATACGGGTTTGCCTAGCGTGTGACAGTGCTAGGTTTAATCTCCAGCCAATTCCCAGAATGTTGTTTTAAGGAGTTCCTTGGAAGCTGGAAAATAAGCGTTTTCATTCCCTTGGGAAGAAGAAGCGGGATATGAGATCTCTTCCTCCTATGTTAATCTTGCTCATAATCTTCTTTGGTTTTCCTACAGATGTCCAAAAATGAGGAATTTTACTTGAATGGCTTTGGTTTTGAGAATGAAACACAATGTAAACTGCTTAATTGAAACAGGCTGCTTGATACAGCTGATACATTTTATGTTTTCCACCTTAAGCTATTGTTCTCATGCAGCTTGGGAGAACAAGGGAATTGTGCTGTGGTTGCTCAGTGACTCTCTGGGAATGTTTCTGAGCCTGTACTTTCTCTCTTTGTAGCCTGTGAAAGACAGCGATCCACACTTTCATCACTTCCTGCTGAGCCAGACAGAGAAGGTGAGGATTTGGCAGACAGCATCATTCTGCTGGTCTGTCTAGCTTGGCATCCTGCCCTTTGCTGGGACTAAGTACAAGGAGTATGCGTAAAGAGCTCTGAAATGCTCTTCTTTGGGGCTAGTGGCAATTAGATTCTCATGTGCAATCTTGTAGTTCATTTACTTCCTAACCTTAAGGTTTAGAATGATTTAGCATTGAGTACAGTGAATAGTTTAAGTAACTAAAGATTATCTAGCACCAGGATTTGACAGGTCTGTTGTAGTAAATTCTGTAGATTGAACATTGAGGGGTAGGAAAAGCTGTTTTTCTGTTTAAAAACCCTGTTGTTTGATTGTCTTTGATGGTTGTCCTACCAGTTCCTTCATCTGGATGAACTTGTCAACTAACTGAATATGGCAGAAGAATTTCCATGACCAGAAAAAGTCCATGTAAAATATAGCCAGTTTATCTCCTGAGAGTCAGAAGCCTTGCAGGATTTTATCTTCAGCAGTGAACATCAGGAGGGAAAGGAAATTAAATGAAAAAGGATTTATATCTAGCTGAGGATCTGCGCAGAGCCAGAAGGATTAAGAGCAGCTAAGAGTTTTATTCTAGACAAGCTCACAATAAGCAGCATGGAAAGGAGCAACCTTCACCTTAATGTTTGTTGAAAGCCACATGCCTTCTCATATTAACAAGAAGGTCTTGCTTCCACAGCTGCATTGACGTACTGAGCATAGATATGAGGCAAGGTGCTCTTTGGCAGGCTTTAGAGATCTCTGTTTTCTTTGGGCCAAATGTGAGAGTAGCGATGCCCTGGATCCTTGCTGCTAGAGGATCCTTGCCTGTTACATGAACTACAGAAAGGAGTTTGCAGTACCTGTATCAGAAGACAGGCTGAATTGCTGGGGCAGGGTGGGAAAGGAAGAGCTTAGTATGTTGCAATAGGTTTTTGTTTTTATTTTCCCCCATTGAGGGAAGCCTGAGAGTTTTCCTGCTTTGCAGATGGTGGTGGGTGGGTGAGCTGCCTGTTTCTATGTAACAAGGATATGGTCTGTTTGCTCAGCAGAGCAAATCAGCACTGTCCTTCCCCTGAATGCTTTGTTTTCTCCATACAGCCAGCTGTCTGCTATCAAGCCATCACAAAGAAGCTGAAGGTTTGTGAAGAGGTAAGTCAAATCTTGGGTTTGATGGATTTTCCTTATTGTCATGAGGACTTGCAGTTCCTCCAAAGCTGTGCGCCTTTTTTTTTTTTTTTCCCCCCCTCTCTCCCCTCCTCTACCCTCCCCCCCTCAGGAAACAGGATCCACCTCCATCCAGGCAGCAGACAGCACAGCAGTCAATGGCAGTATCACGCCTACAGACAAAAAGTAAGATCTCCAACGCACTTCAGCCATTTCCCTTCCTTTTTCTCCTTCCCAGCTCATACATGCAGCCATTATCCAGCTTGTCACTGAGAATAAATAAACCTAATGTTTCCCTCTAACTACAGATCTCCTCTGTCCTTGTGTGAAACTGATTTGGGGGGGGGGGAGGGGAGGGAGGCAGCTAAAAACAAACAGGGGCTGTACAGTAGAAAAATTCAGAATACGGGCTGGCCTGGATACATTTGCAATTCAGGGCTTTTGTGCCGTTGCCCTTTTCCTGTAGGGCGTACTGCAGAACATTAAGCAGCGGTATTTCTGAATGCTGTATGAGGCAGAAAGATAAAAGGGTGTCTTTCTCCAGTAGTGCCTGGCAGTTGACTGGGGTTGTTTAATCGCTCTCCTGAGCATGTAGAAGACAAGAGGAAGAGGGAGGCGTGTTCTCCCCGCACAAGAGCTTTGCTGTGTAGCACGTGAGCTTTCTGGTTTCTTCTAACGTCCCCTTCTCCTTTCTAGAGTGAGAGAAGCCTAACTTAAGCTTCCTGTTTCACTCTGTAACTTCCGCTCTGTTCAAATTGAGTTCAGGCCACAGCTTGCTGTTTGCCGTTGGGGTCGTTCTCATGGGATGTCAGTTCTCAACTGTACTCCAGGGGAACCAAAATAACAATGAAGCTGTTCAGGTAAAACAGTCTCTCAGGAAAGTGTGGCTCAGAGGTGGGTTGGGAGAGAAAGAATATTTCCTCTGTTCTAGAGACTTGAAAATAGGTGGACCTTGTTTGGGCTGTTTAAGGAGTCTATAGTGACTTGCTCTGACCTGTCTAAATTAGTTTGCTCTAACAAAAGGTAGCATGGCTAGCTGGGAGAGTGCAGGTTGTTTGCGAAAGCCACAGCGCATCTGTAGTGTGGCTAATTCTGAAGAATTAACTGGGGAATTGCCAGGCAGATTTCGTTACGAAGTTACATCAGACATGTAACTGAACACTTGCAGAATCTCCTACTAGAATTGTGGTTTTGGTATGAAGCTAGCTGCATGATGTATAAAAGGATCCTTGCAGCAATGACTGCAACGGAATTCCTGTTGCAGGTAACAGTAGGGATGGAACTTGTTAGCGCATTGTCTTTTTCTTGAAGGGGGGGAGCAAAACTCTTGCCAGCTTTGGGCGGTAGCGGGGGAGGCATGGGGGGAAGGCAGCTGGTATCTGGGACTATTGTATTGTCGCTCATGGTGACCTGACCTGTACTGGCCTATTACTTCCTTTCTTTCTGTGTCTGTCCAAAACTGCAGCTGTAGAGCAGGGACTAGGTCTTTGGTCTGTGCATGATGCTTAGCCCAGTAATCCTTGCTGGGCTTTATTAAAATAAAGGTTGTAATGTATCATTCAATAGTATAAGCAAGTCATTGTACATGTGACAGTGTAAAAATCAGAAGATTAATTAGAGAAGCACCTGCTGACCTCTAAATGTTCCCTTTATCTTCAATAAGGCAATAGCTGGCAACAGAAAGCATAAGAGCAGCAATTTTAGTAAAAGAAAAAAACAAAAAACCCCAAACAACACCCCCCACACCCCACCCCCAACAAACAAACAAAATAACCCAGACCACCCAAACCTTTAATGCTTAGGTAGTCTTCTGAAGCAGACTAAAGACTTTCTTCAGGAAATTGTTAGGGATGTTTGGTAAGCAAAATAAATACCAGCTTGCTTTCAAAGCTCGGTATCTGCCCATTCTAGCTGTGGCTACAGTGGAACATGTTTGATTTTGTTGTGGTTTTGGGATTTTTTGCTGGTGATGCTCCAGGGTTTGCTCTTCATCCTTTCCAAGACCATGAGAGGCTGACACCAATTGCTTTCTGTTGCATTAATGTTTATCTCTTCCCTTTAGGATAGGATTTCTGGGACTTGGTCTGATGGGAAGTGGCATTGTCTCCAACTTACTGAAGATGGGTCACACTGTCACTGTCTGGAACCGGACTGCCGAGAAGGTAGGCATGTGCTTAAGGTACAGATGATACTTAACCTGTTCTAAACATGTAGTTACCACCTCTAGCTCAGGGAGGCCTGGAGTCACCAGTCGGTGGTGCCTGGGAGAGGATGCCAAAGAAACACAAGTATATGCTTGCCACCTCGTTCTATTATTATTTCCTAGGTGCTTGTTGGTGGCCACTTTTGACTAGATGAAGCTGTAGTCTGTCTTAGTATGGTCACTCTTATGTTACAGTCCCCACCTCATTGCCATTTTGTATGAGATGAGAGAGTTGCCAGAAAAATTACAACCTTGTATATGTGTTGAGGAATATAATGTAAAGTGCCTCTGGAAATACTGCTGATGTAAGTAACCAAGTCATTGTGTCATGGAGCTGGACAAAAAGACCAAGTGCTGGGGAGTTGATCCTAGGAGCAGTGTGGTAAGACGCACTGCTTGACCACAGCTTCATCTACACATCCATTGTGCTGTTCATGTTGCAGTAACAAAGGTTCTGTTGAAAACCTGCTGTGTCATAAGACCAGGATGAGAAGGGTTCTATAGGTGTATTCAAATGAAAATGGAGCTTATATTACACTTATATTCTAGCCAGCGTTATTCTTTGTAGTGGAGGAGGAAAAGTAGGTAACTGGGGGAGATGTGGTACTCAGATGATATTGTGGAATATCAAAGGCAAGAAGGGCACCGTGGTTACTTTGTTAAAAGGGATTAAAAGATTTTTTTTTTTAACTGCAAAACATGGATGGTATGAGAGGATAGGGTAAGAAGGACACATGTCAGTCTCAGCTGTGCATATTCCTGTTTACTGTCCAGTAACACCTTTAGCTATGTCTGTTTACCAGTTTTTTTCCCTCATCACTCCTGCAAAAACCACAACATACAATCTCTTATCATTTCACCTAAGTGTTCTTTTTCCTGTGTCTGTCTTTTGAAGTTCTTCACTTGGGGTTTCAGAAAAGCTGCAGAAGAGCCCCGTGTGTGCGTGTGGGGACAAACCAACAGAAGACAACCCAGTTGCTATGTAATTAATATGCCTGACTCCTTTTGAGTTGGGTCCAGCAGCAGAGTTCGTTTCAGCAAAATGCTAGAGAGCCCATTTGCTCCGTACTTAATTTTTCTTACGTTTGGATTTGTGACTTTTGCAGTGTGATTTGTTCATCCAGGAGGGGGCACGGCTGGGAAGAACCCCCGCTGAAGTTGTCTCCACCTGTGACATCACCTTTGCCTGTGTATCAGATCCAAAAGCAGCAAAGGATGTAAGGATTAGCTCTTATTTTTCCTCCACCAGCTAGAGTACAAGATACAGTCACTGAATGCCAGTTCTCATTCCTACTAACCATGGTAGCCTGGGTCATTGTAGATGCTGGGTAGTGCAGCTATGTAAAAATAAATGTCCCAACAAAAATCATACTTTTAAAAAAATAATCCCTGGGGGATAGGTTTTGATAACCCTCTAGGAGTCTACCGCTGCAGTGCCAGGCTCGCTTGAACTGCTGATTGGGGTTTCTTTGCAGACACCCTATTGCTTTACCGCTCTTCTGTTCCCCACAGCTGGTACTTGGTCCGAGTGGAGTGTTGCAGGGGATTCGCCCAGGGAAGTGTTACGTGGATATGTCCACCGTGGATGCAGATACAGTCACAGAGTTGGCCCAGGTAATCACATTGAACTGAACTTCTAACATCTGTGCTTCAGCAGCAGTACTGCAGTTCTTGTTGCTTCAGGCGGTAAGCTGTTGATAATAAAGATGCTTCTAAAGATTTTTGGGCTTCTTTTAGGAGACACTCAAGGCCCAGGCAAATAAGACAAAATAAACTGTCAAATCTTGACCAGCAAGCAAAGTTGGATGAGATGTTCCCTGGTGATAACAGCAAAGCCTGTAGATTTGGCAGGGCTGTTAACTGGCACCAATGCAAATGGCCAGCCAAATTATACAAAGAAGTACTTATAGCCAGATTGGCATTCTGTAGCAAACTGGAGGAGAAAGCACTGTCTGGATTGGTTACTGTCCTTAAATTGATAAAATGCATAATCTGCTAATTTTAAATGTTCTGGTTGGGGTAAAAGAATACCTGCATGTTTCATTCCGTAGAAATATTATTATAGAGAGGATTTCTGTAGAAGTGTTCTGATTATTTCTGATGTTGTACCTTTGATTTCTTCTTTGGCATCTTGATTGTTATCCTCTGCCCTGAAGGCAGTGTGTGTTGTTGCACAAGAAAAGGGAGCTAGTTTTGGTGAAGTTTTAAGCAGACGTATTGGTGATGCAGTAGTGTGTAACATGACTTTGGAAGATGAAGAGTCATACATATTAGTAAGCTTCTGGCTGAAGAGATCTGTCAAAGGCCTTTCCTCTTTGGGGAAAAGGGGGGGAGATACCATAACAGCCAATTTTCTGAGATTCCTACACCACATGTACAACTTCAGCACTGGTTCCTTGGCCGTTACAGGGTGCCATGGCAAAAGCACGTAAGTTCAGCTGCTTAAAACGTGCACAGTAGTGATGGGTGCAGGAAAGTGTTGCTGGAGTGTGAGGGCAACTTTTGGTCTTGAGTACCCTTTGCAGGTTGCAGCGCATCACGTGTTAGTGCTTTCCTCTCCTGTTTATGTGTCTGAGCTATTTGTTCTGCTTTTAAAATTCTGTCCTCAGGGACAGGAATGCCCTAAACAATGTTCTTGCTGTGCTGCCTACTGAGCATCAATGCGTGTTCTTCGTGCACAGCTAACTAGAGATGCTCTTTTTCCAGGTGATAGTGTCCCGGGGTGGTCGCTTTTTGGAAGCACCGGTCTCGGGAAATCAGCAGCTATCTAATGATGGGATGCTTGTGATCCTGGCAGCCGGCGACAGGGGTTTATATGAGGACTGCAGTAGCTGTTTCCAAGCGATGGGGAAGACATCTTTTTTTCTAGGTAATTGAAACACAAAGGGCCTGGTAGCAGTTTCTGAGTCAGTGCAAGGACTGGCAATTCCAGCAAGGAGTCCGGGAGGCACATGTGTCGTCTGTTTCTTGTCTCCTTGGGCAGTATGGGAAACTGGCCTGCTCTTCTGGAACTTGGCCAATTTCAGAGCTTCCAGCCTAAGTTTTCTTTTTTTGAATACTGGCTCATTATGGAGGATCCGTGATGCTTTTTTTATTTTAAGTCATACTTTGTTATGATCTCTCCCTTCCTTTGAGTGCTTGGAAAATGGGTAAGTTTTCTGAAGTCTTTCAGGGGAAGGGAGAGCTGCCAAGTGCTTGATATGAAGAGTCCAGTAGTGTTAATACTGTGTGGGATGGGGGAGCAAGGCTGCTGTATCTCTTCTGGAGGAATGCCCAATGGTATGTCTCGCTCCCAGGTGAAGTAGGCAATGCTGCCAAGATGATGCTGATTGTGAACATGGTCCAAGGCAGCTTCATGGCAACGATAGCAGAAGGACTGACTTTGGCTCAAGTGACTGGCCAGTCCCAACAGACCCTTCTGGATATCCTCAATCAGGGACAACTTGCCAGCATCTTCCTGGACCAGAAGTGCCAAAGTAAAGTTCTCTTACATTGTTTTATTATAGGACATTTGCCACAACCTAGCAGCATTTCAGATAATGGCAGAAAGGAGAAAATAACTGTCCCATCTTCATCAGCCTGGGATTCTGGGTATTTTAAGCATTCTGGAAATGAAGAGCTGAGTTCCATTCCTTCCCCTTCATAGCCAGGGCTTCTGAGAATCCACCCCAAGCTCCGCATTGTCTACAGCCTGCTTAGGACTTGAGTTCACAGTGAGGATTTCCTTGGGGCAGGGTAATAAGTGAAATGGAGGGCAAGCTGCTTAGAAATCTGAGCTCGCTTTGTCAGTGGGCAATAGTGACATTATCTGCTGTGGCCAGATGAAGATAGAGAACAGAGAAACAGAAGAGCTAAAAGCAGTGTTCCTGGTGATCAGCATGGGAAAGGGAAGTTTGCTGTTGAATTGCATGCCCTTGCAATGTGGGCTTGAATTACTTTTGTCATGCTTACTTTTTGCACACATTCCTCTCGACAGATATCTTGCAAGGAAACTTTAAACCTGATTTCTACCTGAAATACATACAGAAGGATCTTAGATTAGCTATTGCACTGGGCGATTCTGTCAACCACCCAACTCCCATGGCAGCTGCTGCCAACGAGGTAAGAGTGGTTCAGGGTTCAGTTGTGTGTTACTCAACATTTCTTCAGTAGAATCGTTTGTCAACAAGAGACGAAAATCTAAGAATTACGTCATCTCTAAGATGAGGGAACAGCGATTGAAATATATTTTGACTAGGATGGAATTGAATTTGTTTTGATTGTAGAAGCCCTTAGAATATCACATCAGTAAACACAAATGGCCTTAAGATCTGGTGTGTTCTGATCTGCACTGCTCTAATTACTTGATATACTATGCGGTTCTCTGGTTTGCAGTGGTCAGCAAAGTAATTTTTCTGCTGGGGAAAGGCTTTGCACGGGAGCAGGCACTGATCCTTTTCTAATTTCTCTTCTCTAGGTCTATAAACGAGCAAAAGCATTGGACCAATCAGACAACGACATGTCTGCAGTGTACAGGGCCTACATCCACTAGGCTGCACCGTTCTTACTGTTAATACTATGATTATTGATTAATATTATTATGATACTGGGTTTTAACTCTGGACCAGTCCATCTCTGTCTCTCCATTTCCTTTTATACACAGACTTTGAGATCTGCCACGGAGGCAGCTGCTGCGGTGAGCCTTCCCCTGGTGGCAGAAGGGGGGGAGGAGGGGGCTCCGATTGTTGCAGTCTAATTAGAAAAATCCATGCCATGCACTGACAGTCATGGAACAGAACAGTGGCGGCTTGTTCAGAAGCTCTGAGGCAACTCTGCCAGAAATCTGCTGCTTGGCTGCTTTTATTTTCCTCTTTGTATGCTTGTCCAAGATGCTGTTTCTAACGATCCCTTTTCTCTTTTGCTGTGAAATAATGTGTGTGTTGGACTCTCTGCATCAAGGGGACATTCCCATCTACCTGTGAATATCACTAAAGTCCTTGGTCCCAAGTAAGGTGAGGAGCATTCCTGTTAATCGGCCACTGTTAGAGAACAAAGCACCTCCCATGGAGGAGAATGGCAGTTCCAGAAGGTAATGGGGTTGCGTGCAACACTGTCTTGATTCTGTTTCTTTTTAAACTTCCACCTCCCCAGCATTTGATGGAGGAATTCCTTGTACTGTTAAGAACAGATTGCATCCATGTCTTCCCCTGTACAGACAACTTTAGCTTAGGGAACACAAACCTTACTGAAAATGAGAGAATGCCAGTGTAAATGAGCCTCCTAAAAGGCTAATCACAGCTGCCCATCCCACAAACAGCATTGGAGATCAACATGTTTGCATAGAAAACTGCAAGAGAAACATACAGCCGAAAACTGGGCCAGAGATACTTTATTTGGGGAAGGAACAAACCTTAGGGTTGCTCCTGGCCTTAGCTTACGTTGCTTTACTTCTTGCCTTTTTTTTTTTTTTTTTTACCCTTGTAGTCCATAATTACAAAGGTGTCTTGGATTGTAGCAGTGTCACAAGCAGAGTGATGAGTCTGAAAGGGGTGAGAAGAATGATCGTAGAGCCAAGAGATTGAGAATCCTGAGCTCCTTTCCACGCTCTCTCTGGCCTTTGCATGGTTATTATATCTCTTAGCCTGTTTGCCCATCTTTAAAGGTGGGTGATGATTACCTACCTCACAGGGATATTTTTGTGTACTGATTAGTGATCTTTATACATGTCAGGTTTTCCATACGTGTTCTTCGTGTTACTACTCTGGGTACAACACTAGCACAGCATGAGACTTTTCCCTGTACCTGTGACTCTGCTTGTGGCCAGATACAACTTCTAGAAAGACTCGTAAATAAAATGGGAGGCTAAGACCACTGTTGAGCTTTAGTCTAGAAACGTGGGGCTTGAACTGCAGATGCCAAGGCTAGAGAGCAGAGGTGCTCTCAGTGTTGATAGCAGTGCAACCCGGAGTCCAAAGGATGTCTGTCTCTAAAAATGCACAGAGCGTGGTAGGGGGTTTTCTTTTTGTTTTGGTTTTTTTTTTTTTTGTTCTCAGTATTAGCCTTTTAGGAGGGTTCTTGCATTTTAGATTTGAGAGTTAGTAAAATGCCAGTAAGAAACTTCATCGGCCAAAATCACTTCTCAGTGGCACAATCTCCTCCCTTGGGTTGGGATTCTGAAAGGAAAGCAAGCAAATTCAAATTAGACCGTGTACCTTTAAATCCATGAGGTCTGCCCCTCCCACCATCTTATTTTTCTAGGAACTTAATGGCTGCGTAGGGAAATTTTCCTGTGGGTTAGGATTTCTTGCCAATCCTGCTTTGTGCAGCACGTGCATATGGTTCAGGGGCACCTTATTAAGAAACAGAGAAAGTATCAGATACTCATTATGAATCACATCTAACGCCTAATGCTGTAAATGTTACTTTGTTGAGTATTTCACCTCCTGTGATCACTATTATTTGTGGGCTAATATTGTGTTACGCATTCTGTCCTGTGGTGAACATCTAGTAATAGATCTGTTAGACATCACTTTGCCCGTTTGTCAGTGGTATATGTGAACAATACTAGTTATACATACATGTTTCTTTGGGCAGTGCAACTGTCATCCTGCATGTAGATAATCATATTAAAGGCACATATAACTACCCAGGATAACCAGCCATTAGCCGGCTTTTGACACACTTGCGCTTCCCCCATCCAGAAGAACTCAGCTATTAGCATCAGAAGTCCTTGGTTAAACATGCCGCAGTTAAGAAATCACTTACATGAATTGTGTATTGAGGGCATCCAGGGGAAATTGTGTTTTTGGGGGCAGGAGATAAGACCACAGGTATTATAGTGTAAGAAATCTTTTGGGCAGAAGAGGGAGGTACTGTCTCAGGTCCAGCTGAGAGTGGAACTGTGCTGAGCTAGTGCAGCAGCGTCCCTGACCTGTCCCTGCAGAGGTCTCTTGGGCCAGAGTGAAGGTGAATGCATCTGAGCAAAGGTAATGGAGGATCTCCCTCTTTTTTTTACTTTGTGGTGCCTCTGGATAGAGTGGGAATACAAAAGGAGCTCTCAAGTCCTGTGACGTGTATTTCATAGTGAATTCAAAGAACCGTATTTGTGAGAGGGAGAACCACTCCCTAGGCAACTCACTGCTGCAGGTTTTGTTTTCCAGAAATACTGTAGTTCTCAAAATGGAGGTCGTTACGTATGTGGGAGTGGCAGGTGCAGACTAGTTAAACACTGTAATTTATCCTGGGAAAGTCTGACTGCAGCTTTCTGGCGAGGTAGGTGGATGTAGAGTGGCTGGAGGGTGCGGTGCTGCCCAGCCAGCTGTACAATCACAGGTATGCCAGGGAGGAGCAGAAGGAGACCAGAGCTCTGAAGTGGATGCGAAGTGAGGAGGAGGGATGGAAATGGTGAAAACCGGACTGTTTCAGATGCCGTTGGAGATTGACTCGTGTCGGTCTCACTCGGGTTCTTATATTTATGTCTGTAGCCTCTGAACATGGATCTTAATCTGTTCCTAGGCCTGAGATTTGGGGGGAGGGAAGGTGGGGAAGCTGTGGATTGAGAGATGCTCTAATAAAACTGGCTAGTCAATGTTGTCTTAATATTGTTGACAATTCTGTAAAGTTCCTTTTTACGAGGATTTCTGTTTTAGCGATTTGCTTTTTTTGACTCCCTCCTTTTTAAAGAGAAAATGTGACACTTGTGAAAAGCTTGTAAGAAAAGCAGTTTCTTTTTTCCTCAATGATAGATCCTATAGAATTAAGGTTGTGAATTTTTATTTTTTTGCCTTGTTTTTAATTAACGTTTGTCATTCAGAATAGGATGTGTGAAAATGTTTAAATGGCAAAACAAAAAGATTTTTTTGTGCAATTAACAAAGCTACTGGCAAAAAGAATAAAACCTTTCTTGGTAACACAATGTTTTTGTGGCAGTTTCTGAAGCCTCTCAAACCTGTATTGTGGCATTAAAGAAATCCGTGCGTTCCTGAAAACATTCAAAAATCAGAGTTGCTGAAAAACAGCACTATGCCTGAGAGCATTTTTGTCATTGCAGAAGCCTGATCTTGTCAGTGAGGCACTACAAGGGATGAATTTGGATAAATTCCAGCCCTCCGCGTGCAGAGGGCTGCATGCATCTGGACTGAGACAAGGACGCAGGCTTCGTTTTAAAGCAAAGAATGCTGAGAGCTGAGGTCCAGAACTTTCTGCTGTCGATGACTTCTTGTGTTGTTTAAGCGTTGGGAGCCTGGTGGCCCAATTGCTCTGTCTGGAGTATCCTTCCTTCTAGTGTTTGGGGTTTTTGAGCACTAACTCTTAGGAGCAGTGAGTGGGGTTTTCCAAGACAAGATCCCTTAACTGAAGTGTTTGCAAGCTCCAGAGTACCGTTTTTTGATGATCCAGGCAGCGTGTGCTGTCAAATAGCAGTAGATGTTCGCGTACTGAGGCATAACAGGCTAGTACTGATTAATGGTGTGTTTCAGTTAAAATGAATTACAGGTGCTAAAGCAAGGAAAAACTCAGCATTGCTTTAACCACAGTGCTAAAACTGAAAGCGATGGAGCAAGGCCACTGGGTCGGAGCTGTGCTCACAGCAGAAACTGGCAATATTGGAAGCTTTCCGGGCTCTGTGGATGAATAATGCCTTCCCTCCCAGAACCCACCTTGCTGAGGTGGCGAAGGCGGCGATGCTGTTCACTTGGCCACCTCTCACCCGCAGTACGTCCACTGGGAAAAGGAACCCACCACCTTCAATGCAGAGACTTCACTGCCAGTATAAATTTATTTCAGTTTCAAAAATTTGAGAATAAATTTGATGAGACTCCCAGGTCTTTACCCATTCTTGAGGATTCTTACATGTATCTTAACCGCTCCGCAGTCAGCTGCGGCCACGAGTGGTGCGGATCAAAAATTCATACTGCAGCAGTAACTTCAGCATCTGCGCTGCAACCGTCAGCCCACGCGATTAGCAGGGGCGGTGCGGCCTGCGGTGTTTGAATGACGGCCGGGCGGTGCCTGGCCTCACGCCGTAAGACCAAGCGTGTCTCCCGGAGGCTCCCCGAGGCCGTGCTC